TAACCATTAGATCAGTTGCAGCGATTAAACTAGCTAGAGAGAGAGTGTGTGAGGCAACAAATGTGAGAAAGACAAAGTGGAAATGGCGGTGAAGAGGGAGGGAGGGAGAGAGGGTGGGGGTCCATATATATCCAATGATGCAGAAATATAATTAAGGATATAATGGTCCTCTTGAACAAACAGAAGAAGCCTGTCTCGGTCTTTGCAATTTTCATAATAAACTATTGCATCTTTCAACTTCCTGCAAATTGTAGGCCTTGATCAGGACACTTAAACTTACGTTTTTTTAGTCAATTGACTTTCGATCTCAATCTTTGTGTTGGTAAGTTGCGACGCAACGACACAGGTAGTTTGTGGTTACGTGGCTTCCGACTCTACATTGCAGTTATTGTTTCATGTTGTGCTTATTGGCTTGATTTTTTTTAATGCCGTTTGCTTTGAGTATTATATTATCCTTCAGTGCCACTTAATAAGAAGCAATTGAACAAACAAGCAGTAGAATAGTACACCAAGCTAGTACAAAACAAACTACCAACAATGTATCGAAACAGCCTAATAGGACATTCCATTCTCGCAAAATAGAGTCAATATATAGGAGCGCAATGGTTGATTTTCAGGGAGCTCAACCGATGTCTAATACTGAAAATAATTGAATTGAGAACCACCACAATCCTTGCGGTTGTTATGCTCCCTCTAAATAAAATACACAGTAGCGTCAACACACAACTTCTGCACTGTAGACGAAACAGATTTTCTGTTCCAAAGACCAGCAGAGCACACATTAAAAAGAGGTCAAGTGAGCCTTAACCATGGTACACCGCACCTTAAAATCACTGAAGACCAAATAGCTTGAGTAAAAAGGCACTCAAAGAAGAGGTGACAACGGGACTCCATCACACTAGAGTAGAGGATGCATGGCGGCACAAGCCATATTCTATTCAAAGTAGAAAGCTTGCATTTAACATCCAGTGTAGATTATGACTGAAGCTGCCTCATGAATTATTAGTTGAAGCTGCCCTCATAGCGGTCCGTCTTATCAACCTCTTCCCTACCTTTTTGCTTAATTGGAAAATTAGATATCTATAATACATGCAATAATCACAAAGATGATTTGGTTATACCGTTACACAAAAAGGCTGAGATTGTTTCGTGAAGAGAGAGAATCCACCTTGGATTCTAACGATTATGTAAAGCACTGAGAGTGTGAGAATTGGAATAGATGAAATGAATATGCTCTGCTAGATTTGCAGAGGCAAAAAATTCTCTCCATTGTTATCCCTCTCAAATTTCTATTCTTCAATTATTCATTTAAAACCAGATTTTCTAGCTTATAACAACATGGCCTCAGAGCCAGGTTCGATCATTTAAATCTGGGCGTAAAACTGTGAATCTCTTGAGCTGAATCGAAGCTCGATGAAGATCGCCAGAGCTCCGTTATCATCTGAAACATTTCAACCCATTCAGACCAAAGATGTCTGGATCTGAAGGCTCAGAAGTGAGAACTCCAATTTTCTCTAGTGAGAACTACAAGTTCTGGAGAATCAAAATGGTGACAATTTTCAAATCACATGGGTTGTGGAATCTGGTTGAAAAGAGAGTTATAACTCTTGATTCAAAGAAGACAAAGAAGATTGAAGGATCATCAAAGGATGAGATCGATGAAGAAAGGGTCATTGAGTTGATGAAAGATGTGAAGGCTCTGGGAATTATACAAAATGCAGTTTTTGATCAAATTTTTCCCACGAATTGCCAACGCTGAAACAACAAAGATGGCATGGGATATATTGTACAGAGAGTACCATGGTGGCAATCAGGTTAGATCAATAAAATTTCAAACTCAAGCATAAGTTTGAATATGCTAGAATGTGTGATGATGAGTCTTTATTTGGGTATCTTACAAGACTAAATGAGTTGATTAATCAGGTGAGAACATTTGGAGAAATTCTCCCTAATGAAAGGCTTGTTCAAAAGGTTTTGATTAGTCGTAGTAAACCATATGATCCTATATGTCTGGTTATTGAGAATACAAAATGTTTGGAGACTGTAGAATTACAAGACGTTGTTGCAATCTTAAAGAGTCAAGAACAATGGTTTGATTTGCACATTGTTGATACAACTGAGAAAGCTTTTGCCTCACTCTCTATAAATCCAAAAGAGCAGAACAAAAGTGGTTATCATTCTAGTTCATCCAGATTTCAGAAAAATTGGAATTCCAAGGGTAAGAAATGGGAATCGAAATCAAAGTTTCAACAGAGATCTCATGTGAATACTTACGATAACGTGAATTCACCTCAATCAATGAGCCTAAAGGGTACAAAACCTCAGTGCAAGGTGTGTTCTAAGTATCATTTCGATGAGTGTAGGCACAAAAGGAAACCTAAATGCTTCGATTGTGATAAGTTTGGTCATTGGGCTAGAGAATGTACTACATGAAAGGTAGTGCAAAAGGCAAATAGTGCAAGTCAGATGGAAGTGTCTGGAAATTTGTTCTATGCTAATAATACAATTACTGACACAAAAATAAATAGAGAATGGTATATTGACAATGGTTGTAGCAACCATATGACAGGGAATATGGAGCTGTTTGTTGATGTGAGAACCAATGTTGTAGGCAAAGTTCAAATGCCAACTGGAGATCATGTAAATGTTGCTGGAATGGGATCTTTAGTTATTGACACAAACAAAGGTAGAAAGTATGCCAGAGAATTAATGTATCTCCCTGGTTTAAAAGAAAATTTGCGTATTCTTGGTCAAATGGATGAACATGGATACTTCTTGTTATTTGGTGGAGGGGTGTGCAGTGTGATTAATGCTCCATCATTAGATTACTTGGTCATTAAAGTGAAGAAGAAAATGAACAGATGTTATCCACTGACTCTTCTACTTGAGAATCAAAGTGCAATGAAAGCTAGTGTCACTCACTCTTATGAAATTTGGCACATGAGACTTGGACACCTACATTTTGGTGGCCTTAAGTAATTGAGAGACAAAGACATGGTTCATGGCTTGCCTCAACTTGAAGATCATAATGGTTTTGTGAAGGTTGTCAATATAGGAAACAACACAGAGAAGAGTTTTCAAGCAATCAAGTGCAGAGATCTAATGCTCCACTTGAACTCATCTATGTTGATCTATGTGGACCTAGGAAAAATGATTCAATCGCTGAAAAATAAGTTCTTCATGCTCTTAATAGATGATCTTACCAGAATGACTTGGGTATGTTTTTTAGATACAAATCTAAAGCATTCGATTGCTTTAGAAAATTCAAAGCTATGACATAATTGCAGAGTGGTTTCAAGATTAGATGCTTGAGAAGTGATAAAGGGGGAAATTTCAAGTCATCTGAACTTGATATGTTTTGTGAAAAAGAAGGGATTCAAAGACAGTTCAATCTAGCACACACTCTATAGCAAAATGGAGTAGCGGAGATGAAGAATAGAACAGTCATTGAGATGGAAAAATCCATGTTACATGATAAGGGAATGCCATATCATTTCTGGGTTGAAGCAATTCATACATTATGGTATATACTGAATAGATGTCCCACAAGGGCTCTGAATAACATTACACCTTTTGAAGCATATTTTGGAAGAAAACCAGATATTCATTACTTAAGAATATTTGACGCATTATGTTATGTGCATGCTCCAAGTGAACACAGACAAAAACTTGAGCCTAAGAATTTCAAAGGAGTATTTGTGGGTTTTGCAACCTGTGAAAAAGGGTATAGAGTGTTTGATCCAATATCCAAGAAACTTTTCTTGTCTAGAGACATTGTTTTTTATGAAGAAGTTGCTTAGAATTGGAAAGAGAATTCAGATCAGTCTCCTCTCACTGCTGGAAGATTTATTTTTGACAATTCTAATATTGAAAGCAATGAGAATATGGTGTTATCTCCTGCATCACCTACATCACCTTCACTTGGAAGAAATCTGAGTGTTGAAGACTTTGGAATTCAGACTAATCTGTTCTCTTTAGAGGAATCTACAAGCAAATTAAGTCATGATGAGAAGAATACTCAGGCATTTGATCATATACCATTGAAATAAAGGAAACTAGATGAGGCATTGGCTTAGTGCAACCTGTGTATCTTGGATCCAGAAAAATATGAAGATGATATTTGGTTAAAGGCAATGAAAGATGAATTGTTTATGATTAAGAAAAATGGTACCTGGAAGCTAGTGGATAGGCCAACTGCAAAACCTATTATAGGGGTCAAATGGGTCTACAAAACCAAGCTAAACCTTGATGGATCAGTTCTAAACAATAAAGCAAGGTTGGTTGCATATGCACAAAAGCCTGGATTAGATTAGGGTCTACAAAACCAAGCTAAACCTTGATGGATTAGTTCTGAACAATAAAGCAAGGTTGGTTGCATATGCACAAAAGGCTGGATTAGATTATAATGAAACCTATGATCCAGTTGCTAGGTTGGATACTATCAGGACTCTAATAACATTGGCTGCACAAAAGAGCTAGAAATTGTACTAGTTAGATGTAAAGTTTGCCTTCTTGAATGCAGTTTTACAAGAAAAAGTCTATGTTGAGCAACCTAAAGGATTTGTAATCGAAGGCAAAGAAGACAAAGTCTACAAACTACATAAAGCCCTTTATGGTTTGAAACAGGCACCAAGGTCCTAGTATGGAGAAATAGAGACTTATTTCTCATAATGTGGCTTTGAGAAAAGCTTCAATAAACCAACACTGTACATAAAGGCAAGGAGAGTAGACATTTTGATTGTCTCTATATATGTGGATGATATAGTATACACTGATAGTTGTAAGTCAATGCTAGAAGAGTTCAAGGAAGACATGAAGAAGAAATATGAAATGACATATCTGAGACTTCTCCATCACTTTCTTGGGATGGGATTAATTCAAGCTAACTTAAGTATCTTCATTCACCAGAAAAAAATATGCAAGTACCTTGCTGAGCAAGTTTAGACTAAGTGAAGGAAAGTCTGTAACAACTTTTCTTATAACAACTAAGAAGCTAACCAATGATGATGGAAGTGGACCTGCGAGTGAAGAAATGTATAAAAGCATTATGGGAAGTCTCTTATACCCTACACGCCACAAGACCTGATATAATGTATGCAGCAAGTCTATTAGCTAGATTTATGCATTGTCCTACTAATAGACATTATGGAACTGGAAAAAAGGTTCTCATGTACATCAAGGGGACTCTAAACTATGGTTTGGAGTATGTGAAGGGAAGAAAAGCTTGTCTAATTAGTTATTGTGATAGTGGTTGGGGTGGATCTTTGGAGGATAGCAAGAGTACATTAGGGTATGCATTCTCCTTTGGCAGTGGTGTTTTCTCTTGGGCTTCAGTTAAGCAAAGTTGTGTTGCACTATCAACTGCAGACGCTGAATACATAAGTGCATCTGAAGCTACAACTCAGGCAATATGGTTGAGGTTTGTCCTAGAATATTTTGGAGAGTTACAAATTGATGAAACCCCCTTCACTATGATAACACATTGCCATCACCAAGAACTCTGTGTTCCATCAAAAGACTAAGCACATTGAGGGGAGATATCATTTTATCAAAGATGCACTACAATAAGGCATTATTGATTTAGTGTATTGTCTTACAAAAGAGCTATTGGCAAACATCTTCACAAAGCCACTCGCAAAGGATCGTTTCAGTTTTCTCATAAGCTTGCTTCGAGTGAAATCAGCTTTAGACTTAAAAGGGAGTGTTGAATTGTAAGCCTATAGTTGATTAGGAAATAAGTTGTGTATCAAATAAGTGTATTCACTTGAGTTAAAATACCAAGTGTGCAGCTCAAATGTAGTAAGGCATATAATGCTAGGTGTAATGATCCTAGAAATTAACTAGATGTAAGGCTGAGATTGTTTTGTGAAGAAAGAGAATCCACCTTCGATTTTAATGATTATGTAAAGCACTGGGAGTGTGAGAATTGGAATAAATGAGATGAATATTCTCTGCTAGATTTGCAAAGGCGAGAAACAACCTTCTAAAAAATTCTCTCAATTTTTATCCCTTTCACATTTCTGTTCTTCAATTATTCATTCCAAACCAGATTTTCTAGCTTATAACAACAAGTGCTGCCTAAAAGTGACCTTCAATAGAAAGGAAGCTTCCACCAGTTCTAGGAGAAATTATAAAATAAGCACTTTGTTTTAGTCACATGATGTAATTTAATTCTCTCAAAAAATTTAAAAATCACAAAAAAATTTCATTTCGTTTCTTCTAAGTTTTGAAAAATCTGAAGTCACAAATTGTACATGACATTTGTATATGTAAATAAGAAATATCTTATGCAAACAACCTGGTGAAACTTTAATTTTCTACATACATGACGTTGATGTAGTCTTATACATAGTCACAAAATATGCGAACAAATAAAAGAAATTCAACTACATAAACATGCCTCATTAGAAGTTGATATTGCTGCTTGTTCCATCTTAGTTGCCTTGACCTCATTGAGAACATCTCTAGTCCATTGGGTAAGGTAGGTCTCGTTGTGTCCTATTTTGCCACTCTTGTAGATGGACATGCATCGACGATCATCTTCTCCAAACTCGCATGGGTCCCCAACTGGATCCCGCCATGCACCTTTGTGTCTCATGCCCGACCAGCTAGCGATCCAATGGAACACGTATTGTCCTACCCCGGCTAGCTTCAACCAACCTTTGGGGAAGAACTCCATCACACTACTGTTTCTGTTCATTAGGAACATATTAGTTAACTGCGCACCATGCGGAGATACCAGAACGTCTGTCCTGCTCATTATCTGCACCTGAATTCACCCAATCATATATAAACTTAATTATGTTGATATAAGGAATATTTAAGCATGTTTTAATCAAATTTATGTACATTGCATCATTTTGAGAGCCGGTTAACAATGGTCAACGCTTTTAAACATACTACAATTGGACCTCACTAACCTTTACTATCACATGGCATTCTGAGTATATTAGTGCAATAATATACGATTATGTTGTTGGAAATTATATACTATAAGTAATATTATAATATTCAATTTTTGTATGAATGAAAAATAAGAGTCATATGTCATAGTTGAATTCAAATTCATGAGTTGTATATATTCGTTGGAACTTTAGGCAACGGTCATAACGTTTCAAAAAGGGTGGCTTGAGTTCTATATAAACACAAGCATCCCACCTGTCTAAGAGGATTAAGATAAGAGTTTTCTCCAATGTCTTAGTAAAAATTCAAGTCGTGTCTTGAGAGTTCGGAATATATGAAGTTCGCCAGAGTCCAAAGATTGAAGTGCTTTGACTTCAGATTATAGATTGTTGAATCTTGGGAGACAGACGCCTACCGAACTACAAGCACAAGAATAGGGGCAAAATTCAATATTTCGGACATTACATTTATGCAAGCCTCAATCTCCAAGTTTGTCAGTTTTTCTAACTTTCTCTTTTGTTGTTTATATTAATCTCATACATAATTGATGTTGTGAATTTCTTTATAATTATTATTATTGTAATTCTTGCGTTATTTTCTATTTTCTAATATTGCTCCAAAAATCTGAAGACAAAATTTCTTTATGCAATAATTAGAAAAATATGGATTTAAGAAATAATTATATTGAGAAAGTAGGAAAGAATGATTTGAATATATGTTAGTGAAACTATTGTTTAATACTTTGAAACGCATGCATATTGCTGTGAAGATATTGTTCTTGAATTTCATTAAGAACGAAATGGGCAGTTTGTTAAGGGATTGTTTATTTAATGTTTTTTTCCATTTAACATTATTGTTGTTGGTTCAATACTCTAAAAATTAGACATTGAGAATGGCGATCAGTTCTTATGATATGTGATTAGTTTTGCCATTTCCAAATTTCGCCAACTGTTGTGCTTGTTAAATGGTTTCTTAACGATGTTGTTATGGAGTGATTCCTCTAAGAGAATCAAATTGATATGCAGTATTATGAATCCCATTATTTAACATGGAAGATGGTGGCTTCATGATCTAGACAAATCTTGTCTTGATAAGGAAGATGCAAACCACTGCATATATTTTAACGAAGCCATATCTGGGCTTGATATATCAGGTTGATGCTTGGTTAATTGGTGTTTAAACTTGTCAAACAAAAATGGTGCTTCTAACCAACATAATCAGTTATGATTGGTGAGGTTCGTGGTGGGCTGAAACCAGACATGATTTTCTATTTGAATGGATTTATCTGTTTAAATAACAAACAGATGCCAAACAATATGTGAAGGTCTCCAAGTTTTCTCAAATGGTACGAACACAAGGATAAGGAAACAAATTGGTGAACCATTCGGTCACTGGTTATGGACAGAGATGGCGTGGTCACTAGTTTGGTTCTTTTCAAACTATAACCATATCAATTGCAGTGATAGTGTTGTTTAGGATATAGAAAAGCTGGAGATTCTGGTTTCCAAAAAGATACGATGATAACAATTTTCATCATGTGGTTAATTGCTGCAATTATTATGAGATCCGTTTAAAGGTCATGTTCTGTGTATGTCTCCTTTATGAAAAGAAAGACATTGGTTAAGGCCAAGTGAACGCCAAAGTGGTGTACTAGATTCATACAAGTTCATGAAATGGATCTTTTTCCCAGAAAGGAGATGTGTTATCGAAGTAGAAAATGATGGTATTGAAATATGTCAAATGCCCTTTGATTTTTCTACCAAAGGGAACGTGATGGTTGTTTGATTCTAATTTGAAATGAACATGAATATTTTATTTATTTATGAAGAAATATCATGAATGTGTAGTTTGAAAAGAGAACTGTGAAAAAACGTGCAGAAAACCACTCAAGAAGGTATTAATGTTATTATTTGTACAAGCCTATGCAACTCTTTGCAAAAATGTGTTATTAGTGCTATAGAGAAACAGTTTTAGGCTAGTAATTGGCACTAGACACTACCGTTGCTAGTAATTAGTGTAGTGTTAGAATTGTAAAGGAAGTGAGACTAGTATGAGTATTAGCAAAAGAAGAAGATCAGTTTTATGATAAGCAATCTTACAGTGCCCATGTTAGTCATGGATGAAACCAAAGGAAATTCATTTGAGAGGAATTATACACTGGAAGTGTGGGGGTCTTTGGGAAAAGAAAAGACTAGACACTAATTAGACATGATGATGCTTATTAAGTAAGCATATGAATGGTCATGCATATTAGTCATAGTAAGGCAAAGAATAAATAAGAAAGAGTAATTTGCATGTAAAAGAGATAATAAGTAATATCTCTTATTATGAATGACTTTTAACGTGTGAAGAGGTTAGAGACCTTCTTTCAATTACCTTAAATGTGGGGGGAGTCTACTTTCTAGAATTAGCAAATTATTGTGTAAGGCCTACCATATGTTTTGAAGACTTAACATTGGAAAACAACTACTCTCGTATCAAAATATAATTTCATAAGATGGATTGTGCACACCATTAACGATAGTCAACCTAAATGGTACCAAATATTAAAGGTTTGACTAAAGAGTAAGTTGATCATCGAGGGGAATGAGGCTAAGGCCAACACAACTAATGAATCAATCTGATGGAAACCTAACTTAGTTGATTGGAGATCCCATGGTCGAAGTTCAATAGGCAAACTAGTTGGGCATGATTCAAAGAAGTTAACACACTATATACCACATTCCTATGATGGAAGAAGTGTGTTGTCTGCAGAAGATTCAGGATGTATATTTATACTTGAGGACAATGATATCTTATAAATAAGAGGAATATTACAGAGTATTCTTAATCAGTGGTCACCTATGTGAGAGTAGAAGTGGGTCGCTTCTATGAGTATGAGATGGCTAAATTCTCTAAAGCTCTCATGAATCTGAGATTTGTTCAGGACCAAAATGAACACAACCGTATGAACCAGAATATATTAGGATTAGTGATGTGTCTTGCTTATTGTCTCGGTTTACTACTACGATGAACAGTTCAAGATTCCATATTCACTACGTCACCAAGTAAATCCAATAAGTATTCACTAGGGTAGGTTCAAGTCCCAAAAACACCTTTCCCGATGCATCTCTTGTCCACCTGTACTCTCAAATTCTTTCTAATTTTTCATTCATGTGGGAGACTATTGGAAATTATATATTATAATTAATATTATATTATTTAATTTTTGTATGAATGAAAAATAAGAGTCATGTGTCATAGTTGAATTCAAATTCATGAGTTCTATATGTTTGTTGGAACTTTAGGCAATAGTCATAATGTTTCAAAAAGGTTGGCTTAAGTTCTATATAAACACAAGCATCCCACCTGTCTAAGAGGATTAAGAGAAGAGTTTTCTCCAATGTCTTAGTAAAAATTTGAGTCGTGTCTTGAAAGTATGGAATATATGAAGTTTGCCAGGGTCCGAAGATTGAAGTGCTTTGACTTCGGATTATAGATTTTTGAATCCTGGGAGACGGATGCCTACCGAACGACAAGCACAAGAGTAGGGGCGAAGTTCTATCTTTAGGACATTGCATTTATACAAGTCTCAATCTCCAAGTTTGTCAGTTTTCTAACTTTCTCTTTTGTTGTTTATATTAATCTCATACATAATTGATGTTGTCAATTTTGTTATGATTATTATTATTGTAATTCTTACGTTATTTTCATATTTTCTAATATTGCTCCAACATATGTGATTCTATTATTGAATCGTAATACAACAATGATGGTAAGTCATTTCATATAAGTCATTTTTGACCCCACTCGAGATTCCCACTCACAAATTCCTTACATGGTGATGTTAAACAATCGAGCATATTTAAATTGGTTTCACCAAGCAAAATCCACTTTCTTTACCTCAATATGTTCTCAATGTCGATGTTTTTATTTGTTTACGGAATCTCAAGGTGGATCTAAAACTTCCATTATATATATACTCTGCCACTCGACTTTCATTCATTAATTAATTGCCCCTAGCTACCAAACATGCATATGTTGTTGGAAATTTTGAGTAGAAATTTTATTGTCTCACATTAGTCACTATCAAAAGGTTCCCTCACTTTATAACGCTTTGTCCCTTATAGAAAGTGATTGGAGTGATGGACCATGAAAATCAAATTGAGCTCAACCTTAAGGTTAGGCTTTGGGATGTACTGATTAATTGATAATTAATGATGTGCCTTGGGTTCGGGGCTCTAATAATTAAATTCTTTAATTAATTACTTTTAATTAATTTCAGATTTAATTAATTTTTTTTTTTTTTATATCAACAGACTCATATTTTCATATGAAGTCTGAAGTGATGAAAGAACGCCAGAGAGCAAAGCACCCCTCTGAGAAGATGTCTCCCAACAGATGCATCGCATTTTCATACTTGTTGCGAACAGGCATGAACCTATTATATGTACATCAATTTACATGGCATTTAGAACACAGAAAAATAAAATTCTTCTTCTACGATCTCAAACATTCTTACCGAGAGAACCACAAAGAAATTTGCCAGAAGTCAAGTTTTCCAGTGCTGAAATTCTAACTTAAATTATTGAATCCTAGTGAAGCAGACGTCCATAGAACTACAAACATTTAGTAGAGACGAAAATTTTTTTTCAAGGACATTGTGGTATGCAAGCCTTGATCTTCAATTTGTCTGTTTAATATTGTTTCATTTTGTTCATATTTTGTTAAATTATTTATTCGCATTTATTATTTATTAGCACATATAAATTTATTATTAATTGTTGATATTTATCCAACATATATACCAAACGTTTACTACTTATAGTATCTTATCCAACAAAAAAGGGGTCAAATTTGTACAATATAAAATGAGTTGAATTATTAATCATCTGCTATCAACTTTATAGGGTTTTATAATTTTCACTTGTGAGATTCATACTCTTAACTCGCTAATTTAGGTGTGTGATCAAGCCTAACATATGTACATCACATGTGGGGTGATGTTGAAGTACAGAACTATTGAGCTCAACCTATGAACTTACTCACTCTGATCTGATAAAGAATTAATGTTGAAGTTCTATACTCTATGATCTATTAGCAATAGAAACAGTGGTTTCGAAATGAACAACTAGAAGACCTATTGACTTCAACAACTAATTTGCAAATTGTTGATCATATGTTGAGTAATGCTACCACATGGTATACCACAATTTGTACCACCTCTTTTTAATAGAGGTACAACTCATGCACCAATACAAGTAGGTCTTATTTTAGAGAGGTAATACAATTGTGGTATACAAAATGTTGTAAGTGGAGCATTTTTAAGTGAGTAAAGGTTTTTGAAAAATTAAGAATGCATGAAATACGCACCTGGTCACAAAAGGTGAGGTTGTTAGAGTAAGCCACCATCAAGCGACAGCCGTCCACCTTAGCACACTCCCTCTCAAAGATTTCAATCACCGCAGTGTCGTTTTTGAAGGATCTCGGTCCCGTTCTCATGAATAATGTGATTCCAATTGGAGGAATTACATCACGACGTTCATGTTCATGTTGTTGTTGTCCTTGTTCCAAATGATCCAAGCTGAAGCTGCCGCTGCTCACGTTACAGTACAGTCTGGCTTTACACCTCATCAAATCGTAAACCTCCATCCTCTTCTCTCTCGACATCCCGCCCTCGTTATGCCTCATCACCACCGCCTCCTCGAAACAAACCGCCCTCCCTTCCTCCACCTCCTCGAACACCTCCACATGTTGGGCCCCACCGAAAGTAGCCACCATCAAATTCCCCAGCCACACCCCCATCCTCCCCCTCATCTCCCCCCAGTGGTACAAAACCCACCGCTTTGGGATCTTACACGAGTTTTTTATATGCCACGCCATGAATGGCACCACCGCCGACAGACCGTGCCAGATGTTGTCGTAGTTGTAGTGGTTGTACGACACGAACGTTAGTCCTTTCATCAGTGTCGCGTTGTGGGGGAGGGCTTCGGGGTACGCAAGGGCGTATGAGTTCCAGGAGCCGTCATGGTTGTCGCGGCCTTTGAGGCAGAGGAGGCGGCCGTGGGAGAATGGCGAGGGGAATCCCTGGTATTGGACCCCTCCTTCTTCGTCCTGGTGGTCGTACATGGAACTCATGAACCACGTGTGGCCCTGGAGGGCTGCGGGGCCCGAGTAACGCAGGTCTTTGAGCGGGAGGAATGTGACCGCATGGCGATGTTTGTCGGTCATTTCCGCGGCGGCGCTGCTAGTGGTGGTGTTGGTGTCTCTTCGCCATCGGTGCATGGACCATGATGATGGCGTGGGATCTTGGGTTTGGAGGGATTGGATGTGGAGAATTATGAAGAGAGTGACGCAAGCTGAGAGGATATAGAGGGAGAGCTTTGGGGAACAGCAAGCGATGGGTGAGAGGGTAGGGCGGTGAGGTTTCTGATGGGGTGGTTTGTTATTAGGGTTGGACTTGGATGGAGACATTTCTTCTACTTCTGGAGTTGCTCTTGTCATGGCCATAACAAGAGGGAAAGAACTTTCAGCTGGATATATATGTAGTTCTGATCTCTCTCTCTCTCTCTCTCTCTCTCTCTCTCTCTCTCTAGTTAGTTTGTGTTGGCGTTTCTTGAGAAGAGAACGCACATATGTTGTGATGTAGAATTGAAAATTGTTAGGTTTTAATAATTCGGGAGATGTTATAAAAGGCAAAAGTTAGAGAGATAACTTTTGCTAGGAATAGGAGCGAAACAGGTGCAAAATATCATACGGTTTAGTTTTGTAACAATAACACAAAAGGATTGCTGGTAAAAAAGAGGAAGCGATGGATACTGATATTATTGCTTTCACTTCTTTTCTTTGATGTGTATTGTGATCACACACGAAGTGCTCTTATAGAGCCACATCTGTGAATGTTTACAAAATATGAAATGATTGTCCTTTGAAAATCCTCACATATCAACAACAGAATTATTCTCAAGTCTTCCTCACTATTAGCTAAAGCATGTGGGTATACATACATACATACATACATACATACATATATATATATATATAATGTTTTATGGCTTCCACAGATGCTTTGGATTAATATTATGCCTATCATGCCATGTTTTATTTCATTTTAAAAGTGTTATTATATTGTTGAGATTTATAAATTGTCATGTTCATTTATAGTTTACCTGCTCATCATGCATGCTTGCACTGGTGTAGTACTCGCCCCGGGCCAAGGCTAGGCTTCACGTGTATGTTCACGTCGCACCGCACTCTCACTTTGTATCCATTGTAGGTGCCAATCCTATCCTAGGTTGCATTAGGCAACTAGGACTCGTAAGTGATGCACCTAGCGCAAATCTTCACGTGATTTTAGTATAACATATATTATGATTACACCCAGTCATGTTTATATTGGAATTTGTCTACATGAACTCGTGTGTTAGCATAGATTGATGAGCACTTGATTTTCTTATGCCACGGTTGATATATTATGATTTGTGTATTTCTTGAATTATTGTTGAATTACCTTTGATTTCATATTTATATGTAGTATGATTTTTCAAAAACTATAGTTGTTTTACAGCGAGAGGTTAGTCTGTTCAAAAAAATAAATGTGTTTCATAAACCTTTGATTTTGCCCACTCACACCTTCTATTTTTTGCCCTTCCAAGACTTGGTTAGCTGAATCCTCTGTGGCGTAAGAAAGATCTTTGGCGACTCTGACATTCTCCCAAATAAATGTAGGAGCTTATTTCCGGTTGTGTAATAAGTACCTTAACTAGATTCGACTGATCTACTTATGTCGTACTGTCATCTATGCTCTGACTACTTATGTTTTATGAGTTCTTCCCTCTACTGTGCACTCTCTATTTTAGCTTCAATAAATTCTAGCTTCGGTTTTAAATTTATCCATATTTTGTACAACACTTTCCTTTTGGCTACATCGCATTCAGATTTCGCCTAGCATGCCTGGACTCTGGTCGGGGTGTGTTAGTTTATTTTCTATAAATTAGAACGAAAAATTTTGCCGCAACCACTAGCGTAAATATTTTAATTGATGATCGGCTCCATTCATTGTATTCTTCTAGGTTGAGGAGCGTATTTGAAAAAAATCATCAAAGTCGGAGCAAAAATAATTATTAAATCATGATGATACTTTTATGTCGAATGATATAGTCCCATTACCAAATCCAGAAACTTTTTTTTTGGGGTGATTTTTGGCATATACGGTCTTGGAGTATATACAAACAAGTTTGATGATTAGATCGTTCAAATTAGTTATATAAACTGTGTATCTCGTCAAAACAGTAAATTCAACAAACACTTAGAGTTTATTCTATATTTCTATTAAGTTAAGATTTTGTTGTAATCACTGGTACAAATATTTTAAATTGATGTTGAGTCCATTCATTGTGTTCTTCTAGGGTTGAGAAGTATCCTTGCAAAAAAAAAAAAACATAAAAATCAGGGCAAAATAACCGTTAAATCATGATGATATGTTTATAACTGTCGAATGATTTCATCCTGTTACTTAATCCAAAAGTTTGTTGGCGTATGCGATCTTGGAGTATATACAAACAATTGACGGTTGGATCGTTTAAATTAGTTACGTAGACTGCATATCCCATCAAAATAATATATTCAACAAACACTTAGAGTTTATTCTATACTTTTATTAAGTAGAATATAAGGTTTTGTGGTAACCACTAGTGTAAATATATTAAATTGCTGATTAGATCCATTCATTGTATTCTTCTAGGATCAAGGGATTTTGTCTCATTACCTAATCCCAAAAACTGTCATTTGGGTGATTTTTGGCATATGCCATCTCAGAGTATATACCAACTATATTGACGATTGTATTGTTGGAATTAATTTCACAGACTACTAAGAGCATCAAAGGAAAATTGAATATGCCAAATGTCCCTCACCTTTTGGCTTACGAAAAATTTAATTTTTCCCAAAGAACGTTAAACCCTAAATCCTAAATCATAAAATATACATTTGCGCTATGAAATTTGAAGGGTTTGTCACGCAAATAGTGGCCTATTACACGTTTGATTGTTGAACTATGTTTGTCGGGCAAAAGGCTCTGAATGAACTAAAACATTGATCACTTTTGCATGACGAACTGTTTTATTTCGTCAGTAAAGTTACTTTGTCTGACGAAATGTGGTTCGTCGAGCAAATGGTAATTTCTAATAGTGAGAGAATTTGAACACGAGACTCAGTGAAAAAAATTGAGGTTCCACCATATAACTAATTGATAGTATATAGAATAGTCTAATTATTAATAAACACATACAAAGATCATCCTTTCTCCGATGTGGGATTCAAACTCTCATCAACACAAACTCAATCAAAATTTTCATCAAAAATAATCATATAGCACTTTTTATAAAGTAATACTTTAGCGGTGAAGTTTTGGACCATAAGGTTTCTTATTCATCTTACAATACTTTTGATACAACAATATATTTACTCTAAGGAGAGAAAGATAAATTGGTTGCAAAGTTACCATTCATGAGATTCAAATATAAAACTTTTCACTTACAAATGAAGAGAATATTACTAGATCATACTACCAAATGAGAATCTTACAAGAGAATTGTTTTTAGCACTCCAAAAATTTCATTCTACACTCCAAACTTTTTAGATTAAGAAAGAAAAATACACTTATAAGTAATGTAAAATGAGATTTTTAAAGTGCCAATAATACTTCCCATCTTACAATACGTTAGTGAGGAAACTTTTGGAAGCTAAAATCCACTACGCACTCGTAACTTCTTGAATACTAAATTCATACTCCATTAGTTGCTATATTTCATTTTTCAAATTAATTATTAAAAATATTAAAACAGGACCAGAATCACGGCGAAGACAAAGCTTAATTAACGCGGGAAGCAAGTCACAGCACAAAAAACTAGCTGTGCTAATAGTCAATTTTACGATATTTAATATTTATCTTTGTGGAAGTCAATGGTTTGTGATCTTTTATATATATTTCTTTGTTTTCTATGTTCTCGGTGCTTCTCGCTTGGTTTTGTGTCAGACTTGTCTGAATCAATAAATTTGCATTGAACAATGAAATTGTATTGACACGAGGAAAATGTTAAGGAAAGTCTTTTAAAATGGTATTTTTTATAAATTTTCTGTAATTTTAAAGTTTAACGTTCATTTTTATGATATTATAAAATATTGTACTAAAAATATGAGATGGTAGAAAATTCATAGATAGTCACTTTTGAGAAAATCTCCTTATTATTTCTCTTTAACATAAGAAACAAATGAAACACCACTTAATTCTTAGTTTTCAAGTAACTTTGTAATAACAAAGCAGAGTTGCCATGAACATATACAGCAATCAATGACTAATGAAATTTGATGCCTGTACAATATTTTGATATTTACATGCAGAGCTGGCAACTCGACGAGAGTTAATTGAAGTTGCGTCAATCATCTTCTAGCCTCATGCATATTATCGGAAAGATCTCCAAAATCCCATTTGTAAATATATATTGCCGTACAACAAAAGATTTATATTATAGACGTGGTTTGTTTACAACTTGAAAAAAACTTACATGAAATAAATTTACAATGACTTGAAGTTTCAATTTATAATAATACTATACTATTAAGTTGCTTTACACATAATATTATTTTCTTAAGTTAAACATTGCGTGGCAGTAAATCTATTTCATACAAATTGATTTACTAAAACCTTTCTCGTGTTGATCCCGAAAGATGGCTTGAAAAGTACAAAAGGGATGCTACTTTTGAAACCCTTTCTTCAATCCCGAGGGCAAAGGCAGCTAAAGCTTTGCTTGATATAGATAAGGACATATTTTATGTACACTGACGGATCAGGATCCTCAGTAGAGGTTGAATCTTCTAAGCAAATTACACGAACCGTTAAATCCAAATCTAATAGTTACAATTATTATAATTTTTAGAGAGATTTTTTGTTTGTAGCCATTGAATTTTAATCCCAACGACTCGTGTGATTAGCTCAAGAAGCTCAGCCTCCTAAGCTTATGAGAGGATCCTGATCCTGTACTCATCACAAGAATGAGATATATCTTAATAATCGTACACATGCATTCCATAGCATAGCATGTGATTATAAAAATTTTGAAAATATAATTTACAAAAAGAGATCAAATATAAATGATTTTGGTCGCTAAAATGTTTGGGTGACAACCTTTAAATAGTTTTTAGTCACTCAAAAAGCAAGTGGTTCTGGACACTATTTCGTTACTAAACTTTTATTGGGAGAAAAAGAACCATAAGATTATTGTGTTTGATTTACTATATTGCCCATAACTTTTAATTGGCTAGTTTTCTTTACTTGTCCTTATATGGTTAGAATTAATTTTTCACCATCTTTTTACTGATAAAGAGATTTTTATTAAATAGTAGAGATATAAAGGTATACGTGAAAACTAAAAGGTAAAAAGTTAAAAAGTAAATATTGGCAAAGTTATATACTTCAATTCTCAAATTCATAACCTCAAAATTGAGTTAGACTAATTGTATGAAAAACTACATGAGATGATAACTAAAATAAATTACGTTGCTTTCCCACAAGCTAGACTACAACAATCTGTTTGGACCTAAATTCACATTTTCGACCAAATTGAAGTCAGCCTAAAAAGAGGGCTATGAGTCTCGGCCCAATGGTGCGGTGCTAATGAAATAGCCGAGTCCCTGATAAGCTAGAATTGTTAAGGATAGGGATGTTTTTTGATGAGGATCAAAATATTCCAAGGATCGAAGATTGTGGATAAGATAAGGAATCAATTGAACGAATAAGGAGACTAAATTTAGAGTCTTAGTTTAGGTGGAAGAGGTTGAGAAAGGGTGGTGATAGAGTTTCAGCCAAGAGTATAATAAGAAAATATGCCGAATAATTGGAATATTATTTTATCCCTATAAATATAAGAGGATTTGCTACGTAGAAAGCCCCCTTCAACTCAGCAAACAACTCAAAATGCTTTACGCGAAACCATTCTCACAACCATGAGAAAATACAAACTATCCTAACCATCATGTCAAAACATCTTCAGTTTGGAGAAATAAATAGCACTGCGTTGACAACTAGCAATACCTTCTGGTCGGTTGATTATCTATCCAAGTTTCGGCCATCAAAGAGTTCTTAATTCTATTGCCTAAAGAGGTCACTTCATTAGCCCAGCCAAATGAGTTGTTCTATGATCGGTTACTTTCAATTGCACTTTATAGTTCGGCATTCATATGACCGAACCACGTTCATTATAAAGGCACTCATCTCCTATGAGTACCTTTTCCTCACAGCCTGATACTGATTTGGCATACTTATTTCTCATGAATAAAGTTGAAGCAGCCGAAAATAGTGCACAAGTCTTCAAATTCTCAGTGAAAAAAGTAACCTTATCTTTAGGTTCTAGAACCTTATCCTGAGAGGTGTTCATTCCTTGGCCGGTAGTCACTCAAGTGTAGAAGTCAGCAACGCATTCGACACCTTTACCACAACACCTATTCTACTTGCCCAACCGAGCTTGGTCGCAAGATGGCGCGCTTGTATTCACTAGAAGAACATAATTAGCTAAATAGTTACTCGACCTACGCACCACATAGGGTATATAACTTTTATCATCAACACAATCTCAAATAATCCAGAAGGTGATTCTAAAAATTAAAGTTCCTAATTCCTTGTAGAAACTAATTATCATACCAAAAACTAAGTATTAAATTCTAAAAATTAAAGTTCCTAATTCCTTGTGGAAACTAATTATCATACCTAAAACCAAGTATTAATTCAATAGTAGCATATGGCAAACTTTTAGGCTCAGCATGACTCACCCAAATATCACCTACATTTCTATAACTTAACCCCTAATTACTAAATGTAAAATTTCATTAGAAAATTCTCGATAATATTAAAAGTAAAATCTCTCATATATTAGTTGTTTTATTGTCGTATATCTGATATAAGATTATATTCCTCAACAATCTACACACATTGTTTTTTGGTCAAGGAGCACATGGATGCACCGGATAATAAGAAGATAAAAAGCAAATACTAGCTGAAACTACTATACATTGTTAATTAATTCTGTACAAACTACATGCTACGAACTTCAATGCTACTTTATCACTTTGGGATCATACCTAACCCTTTTCCAAGCCCAAGGAAGAAGTTTTGATATTTTCAAAAAATCAGAACTTGATTTCCAAATTGAGACTACAAAAATCAGAGACGAAAATCAATACGAAGATAGTAATAACAAACTATTTTAAGACTACAAAGCTACTATTAGAGCGGCACAAATGCACTGTAAACACTAAACAAGGGACATTCATCTTTGTCATATTTTTCCAAAATTTATCTAAATTTCATGAAACTTTAAGAGCCGGTTGATAATTACTAGTTTTCGGTTTTCAATTTTTATTTTCATTTTTTTTAATTTGAATCTTGTTTGGTAACTCCTTTCAATTTTCAGTTTTTTGAAAACTGAAAACTATTTTCTTGAATTTTCAAACTTTAGCCTTGAGTTTTCACTTTTCGATTTTCAATTTTCCGTTTTTATATAACTAAAAAAGCTGAAAGTAGTTATCAAATCAGATTTTAGTTCTCAATTTAGAGAGAAAAAAAAAAACTAAAAACAGAAAGTAAAATGGTTATCAAACGGCTCCTAAATTACTCATTCAAACATATGGAAAATCTCCATGCCAATATTTAGTGGAATCTTCTGAATTGTTAATTTTTATCATCTTTTTGTAGACCAAATTATCAATTTCTATAGTTACTGATGAAAAGATCAGCAGCAGCTGCTGATGGCCTATCACACGCGGACAAGTGTCCAATTTTTTTATTAAAAAAATTAAAATTTGGACACATGTCTGCACGTGATTGGTTATCAACAGTAGCTGCTACTGATCTTTCAGCAGCGAAGTCTTGTTCATATTTAAAAGTCTAACTTGTTAACATATTAAAAAAATAAAAATCTAGCCTTACATAGAACAAACTTTTCTCAACTTAAATTACGTAAAATTCAGTCCAAACCCATTTTTGGAATGTACTTGAATGATTTTAAAGCTCTTTTCATCCTCCAACTCAAGAGTGGCTAAGTTGGCTTTTACTTAATATATAAGTACTGTAGTGGGCAGTGAAGGTAACATGAGGGGGAGGGTTTAAGAGTGTGTATAAAACACCTTTGCTCCGACGTGAAATGTAGCACATTTTGCCAAAATTTTCGGGCATGGCAGTTAGTAATGGGAGAGGGAAAAACAAAGGAAAGCGGATGGCTACGAGCGCTGCATGAGCACCGCAGAGAAAGGTAAAAACAGAAAACGTAAACATCGATGAACGCATGGAGAGTGTGTCACCATCTCTCAAACTAGCAGCTTTAACTTAATTTCGATCTCAATTTTTTTCTGAAGTTCAAAGTCGCCAGTTTATTTCCTGGAACTAAATACTCGTGTGTATTTTGGCTAAAAGTTAAAGGATACAATGTGGCATCCATGTGGCAATAAGAGAATGGGTATGCATTCCTTCTTACAGAAGTCCACAAAATTCTTCCCAGAGGTCATTTACTGGTACAAATTTCGCGCATCAACAGAAAAGGGACGGGATTTTGCTTCAAATTTGTGCAAATCCTCACTACTTTTACATCTCAACTCTTCCCCAACTCATGGATGTTGATATTTCAAAAAATGAAAGAGGGACCATGTCAAATTCTTGCAAATTAAAGAAAAAAATTGGTGGGGAGGCTAAGACTGATGGACGAGAAGTGAGAAATTCGTTAGGGGGAATTAGAGTAGTGTGAGGCAACTTAACACCTCTGACAGAATAGACATAAATCTCACCAAAGTTGAACGAGTATTGAGTTCCCGGGTGTAGAGTGACATACAAAAGATGTTGTCAAAGTAAACATCAGCTGCCAAACGAATATGGTTACAACTTACAAACGATGCGATCACACATGCTTCAAATTTTCTCAGTTTTACAACATACACAGCATGCAGTCTCTTTTTACTTCGACTCCATGTTGTCACTTTTGTAACGACATCTTGCTCGTGTTGTTGAAAACTATTTCCTACTACATGTTTCGACAACACCCATCTCGCGATGTTAAAGGGTGCTTTTCTTGTAGTGACGGGTCATGCATAAGTAAACAAAGTAACACCAGATATGGTATATACATCCTCCAACGCATAAGTCAGATACTAACTCAAAGAAGTAAAGAGTAGTTTACAAGGCTGAAGTAAGAGAAGTAGTTATAAGAAGTAACGAGTACAAAATCTTAAGCACGACAAGTTACTTACAGCACATTCATCATTTTTTATCCTTGAGTTACCTACAAATTATATGTTGATGCGTACCAAAAACTATTTTCGTAAGTTCCAAAAGTATTAGATGCAAAGTCTTCTACTTCCTATGCCATCATGGAATGAATTAAAAAGTAAAAATACAAACGGGGGAACAGAATTTCAACAATCGTAGTATCATGAAGTTGACGAAACATGACTCTAGAATGCTTCAAGTGCTACTAACTTCCTTTTGTAGGATAACTTTTCCAATCAATTCACTCGTAACTACTATGAAAAACAATTTTCAACCGCTGTTATTACATGTTCTATAAACATCGGGCATATGTAACTTCGTGGTCCAGGTAATTGCCAGAATCTATAACAGAATGCTTCCATCTCTAAGGTATATATGAGTATTAAAATCATCATATGGATAATAGTTAACAGATCGATCTTACCTGACTTGCAATGATGTATGACGAGCTCGAAGTACACTGCACTTGCAATGGAACTAATGACGGGAAGGATAAACAGACTTTAATTTTCCATAAGACAGTACTTGAGACTTAAACATCGAAACAACACAGCAGAAATATTAACCCACTGAATGCTGGCATATTATTCAGTCATTTGATATATGGAACGCCTGTAAGAATTCTTAATTATTCCCTCTTCAAAACAATCCAGACATCATAAAATTGTCACATATATGTTCCATTACCTCCACCAAAACTGATTTTCAGTTCTACTCTAACGAATTTGAAGTATCACAATTCTTCTGAATCAGAATCACCTTGAAGTTGTGGGCCTTTTCAGTCAACCCAATGTCTGTGAAAGCGTGCAAAACCCTACTGCAGGCAGTAACAGAAAAATCTGTAGTAGTTGATTGCTTCCACCGATCAATAACTTCTCCGACTTCTTTTAATTGCCCAAGCATTAGATATGAAGAAAGAATGCAAATATAGTTGCTACTTGTCATCTTTTGTCCAGTCATTATCAAGGATTTCCATATCTGATCAATCCTTTCCTTATTTCCTAAACTAGCATGCAGAATAATGAGAAAGTCATACGTAATCCATTCTCTTTGTGTGATTCGTTTCTCAGCTTCAACTACTAGAGTGTCGGACTCTGCATTCACAAGATGCCCAACACTAACATATATATTTGTGAGGTTAATATATCTCTCCCAGCCTTCACCAAAACCAGGATCATGTCTCATTTCAACTAAAATCTGTCGAAGCTGATCAATCTTTAGAGTTGCAGCACATGAACTAATCCAAAGATTGTATGTGAAGATATCCGGTTCAACCTTGTGCTGTTTCAGATCTTCCACAACTAAAGAGACCTTCTCAACTTGCCCCACTGACATGTACATAGTCATCATCTCATTGTATGTAAGGGCACTCAGGGACAGGTTAGATCCTTTTATTCTCTCATAGAGGTTCTCAGCCCTTTCCGTCAATTTTGCCCCAGCATAAGAGTGGAGGAGAGCAGTATATGTCTCATTTGTTTTTGCAGTAAGAGGTAGACCTTCAAAGTAGCGCTCTGCTGCATCGATGCCAAAAATTTTGGTCATCAAGACAATGCGGACTGCATAGTCAGAATCCGATAACTCAAATTCATTATGGCTGACCATCCACTCGGATATCTGCAAGCTTGTACAAATCACAAATAGAATCCAATGAACACGGAGAAATTATGATAGAAACAGAGAACTGAAAGTGGCATATGAAGATTACATTGGAAAAACTTATAGGGATTTAAACGGGAGAGTTACTATCCGTTTTTCAATGCTCATGCTTACCCTGTGACTTAAGATAATACTTGGATTAAGAAATTGACACCAAATCATTTAAACCCAGTAAAAAAAAAAAAAAAAAAAAAAAAAAAGGCCAACCCTTTCTATTGTAAATGTAAAATTTATTGGGAATTGACCGAAATGATGAAAATACAAATCCTAATTCCTAAAATGATCACATTTTGGGATTTTATCAATAGAGTGTGAACATTTCATCAACAACATCATTAATGTTTGATCGATATGTGGTCCTTGTTTGACTCATTTCTGCAATTGGAATTTGCAAATCCTCATTTCCGCCAAATTTTCGCATTTTATTCAGTCTATTACAGCGCAATCTTATTCATTTAACCATTCCTTGGTCATGTTCTATTGTATCCTAGAAAGCATGTATTCTGCTGCAGATGAACAAGGTGGCAACGAAAAAAGTTAATTAGACCTAAGATTATGCAACTACTCCAAAGAGATGACAACACTAGGGAGCCCCAATCCAAGCTTTCAACTTTCCATCGTTTTCTTGCCAACCAAACACAATAAAGTTCTCATCAAAAGGTCTACGTTAATCAGAAATCAAACCCCAATTGCTTAACTGAATCAAATATTGACAACATATCGATTAAACAGCAATCACGACATGCTAACAAGAAGAGAATCCAACCTCGAGGGCGTGCTTGTAACGGTGAGACTTGCTGAGGTCTTTAGAGATCTGGCGGAGGTCCGAGATGGAAATTTGGTTGCCTTCGGAGACCCATCTCTGAAGGACGTTGGTGGCGCTTCGCTTGGGCTGCCTGAGCCTCAACACTCTGCTCTTGAGGTCGTCACTTCCCTCAGAATCTTGGACAAACTCAGTATTCACAGCACCTGCTCCTCCCGACGACAGAAATCTTCCAAAACCAACACCAACACCAACGCTAACACTGCTTACGCCGCTGCTCCGTCTGAGAGAGAGCAATAGTGACCGAGACGCCATTGACACTCAACTTTCTAGATTCTGTTCATGAAGCTCTTAAACTTCGGGGAACACCTGATTGACACTCAACTTTCGCTTTTCAGCCTCCTCAGTCAGCTCAGCTCGGCTCGGCTCTGCCGAATATTTGGGCCTTCCCGGGATGGGCTTCACATTAAACTTGTACTACCTTCACTTATGTTCGAGGTCCATTTGAGTGAATTTCGGTTTTGTCATACGAGCCGTCATTAATGCAAGTTGACATCTATTTCTTCGTTCAACATTCATTTCATCTATACGGAGTTATTCAATCCAAGTCAATCTTAGATGCAAAACAACCGATCGGCTGTTTTTGGGGTTGCTATTGACTCGGATGGAAACATTCAGTCACAGTAAATTCAATTCATCCAATTTTGAAAGGAATTATATCAAATTTGGTTGCATTAGGTTACAAGTTTAGGCAACAAACATTGCTTCGGGTTTATTTATAAGCCAAAAATAAATAAAAAAGTGCAAAATTATTTCATAAAATAAGGGAGCTTAGGAGGTGTTTGAAAAGTGTACGTATCACAAATATTCATATTGGAATCTTTTGATGTGCTTTTTGTGTCTTATGGATTCTCTCTTATAACTAATTCATAATTTAAGTGGCGTTACTAATCAATGATTACCATGTAATCAAAAGTGAATAATCCATCAAATAGAGACTTGTCATGTGATAATTTGTCAACAAGAGTATCTCTCGTCTTTTGGGGTTTGGCCTCCATGCTGACCAAAAAATAATACTACTAATAATCAGATTTTTTGCTAAAAAATGAAAACATTGCAGACAGAAAGTGCAAACGACTCTTATGTTATAAATAGGGAAAAGTGAGGGAGCGATAATTTTTGTTAGAGATAGAAGTGGAACAGGTGCAATGTATCACATAAAGGAGGATGCTGGTAAAAGAGGGGTGGAATATTGGTATTATTACTTTCACTTTTGATCTTGTGTGTTGCAATAAGGTTGCAGACATACCTCTGTATATAGGCATTTTGATCCGACACAACCTTACATGCATGAAGAAAAATCTTACTTTCCCAACACTTTCCACCTAAGACTTTTAAAAGTTGCCACCAAAATCTAATTTGGTTTGCTTCCTCATATAATTACATATGCGGGATTCGCACTAAATTTCACAACATCTTATATATTTCTCAAGGATATGGTTAACAAAGATATCAAATGTTAGTTCAATGGATATTAACATACCAAAGAGTGAACAACAACCAAAATTGTTAGCGTGCCATGGTGCCCTTCTCAAGTTTAGACATCTTGCTGTTCATGAAAACAGGGTTCTCCCCAGGCACATAGTCATAATCCGGCACCTTCACCTTAGAGACGTACATGTTTTCAACTGGACCACAACTCAAAAAACTCCAATGTTTAACAACTTTGTAAACAACCCCCTCTACAATCTCTCCCCTGAAAAGCTTGAAGGTGATGGTGCTAAAACAACTGGAAACAACACATCCCCAGTCCGTTTCCTCACTTTACACTCTCCTACTCTCTCCATAGTTGAGTACAAGATAGTATCACAGATCTTTCGTTGCATTTCTCAATGCAAGATCCTCCAGCAGGCGGACTATAAACGACTTTTGGAGCATCAATTCTCACCACTATCTTAAAATCTATATTACAAGAATGTTACTACCAAACACGAATTTCTTATTTTTTGACTCTTTGGATTTTGATAACATACATGTTTCAATGTTTTCATTCTCAACAATCATGGATTAAAATACCAAACGCATTCTTAAATCATAGAAATGAGAAATCCTATTTGTCATTTTCGTTGTTCTTAATTGTTCTTCAAAATTCATTTTTGTTATACGTTACCAAAAGTACCCTTATTTTCTATTAGTTTGGAATTTGTTTTTGAGTACATAGTCAACATTATTTTGATGTTCTACAAAACATAATCGAATATAGTTTTCTGCATTTTTCACAAAATTTTTATAAATTAAATATTGTTTTCTCAATTTCTCATGGTTTGAGTGTAAGAATATCCCAAATCTAACAGTATAGTATTAGGATTACAAAAAGAAAACAACTTGCAGACTATACTTGCTTATGCACGTAGAATGGCATTAATGAGTAATGACATGCATGTATATGATCCTGAAGCACTTACCTGTCACCATGAGTGCTTCTGGTGCAAGATTGAAGTAGTCTTCTACTTCCAATACCTGTTTTATGAACTCTACTAACTAGCGAAATAGGTTTGTTGTTTTGTGAGATTCAGAGCTTGTTTGGATGTACTTTTGAAATGACTGAAAGCGCTTTCGGTGAAAATATTTTTAAAACCAATTATTAGTAAAAATGCAAATAAATTATGGAAAAACACTTAAAATGCTTCCTGGAAGAAGCACAATTTATGTGCTTCTTCTAGGAAACACTTTAAGTGCTTTTGGAACCAAAAAAACATTTTCTTTAAAAGCGCTTTCAGTAATTTTAAAAGCATATCCAAACAAGCTCTCAGTTGGTATGGAAGCAGGGACTACTTCTTGGTTATATAGCTAGGGTTTCAACCAATTCTACCCTATTAAATGAAATGATATCCACCCTAATCTTTTTTGTTCAATTAGAGTCCCATCATGATTCTTATACCTTGTATTCTCTTAATAAAAGGCCCATGATTGGTTTCAAAAAAAAAAAAAAAAAAAAGGCCCATGATTGATTGCATGTAATTATGACTCCAATATGTTTATTCCTTTAAGGCTCCGAGAATCATAAAAGATTTCATTAACTTGATTACTAAGTCAACTATCTCAAAGATTCTCAGCATAATTCATTGTCATTCAGAAATGGTTTTACATTGAGTTCATTTAAGTAAACAAGCTGCCAAACGCATCAGTTTCTGTATTTGTAAAATGAAAACTTGTTTTACGAATCGTTTTACTGTTATTTGACAGTCTGGAAGACTGATTCAGAGAGATAACCTGTCTTTAGATCGTGGAAGGAGTTGGAGAATGCTAGGTCAAGAAAAGAAAAGGCCAGACTCCAGTCGTCGGTTAACCGGAAGACTTGCTGAAGAGCTTAGTGCAAGGGAGACCAAGTAAGTGGTTGACTGTCTGGAAGACTTGGTCAAGCTTGGAGACCTTGTGGTGTCTCTTGCCCTATAAATTGAAAATTAAATTTATTATTTGGCAGCCTGGAAGCCTTGGTCAAGCTTGGAGACCTCATCGAGTCACTTGCCCAACAAATTTAAACTAAATTTAGATATAAACATTGGTTTCATGTGGGGAAAAAATAAAGATTTCTTGCCTATAAAAATAAACCATTCTGTATATTAGCCGTCCATCCCTACTCAAACACACTGATTAGTTCCCCAGTTCTCAAGACAAGCATACTCTCTCTCTCTCTCTCTCTCTCTCTCTCAGACACACACACACACACACACACAATGGCACCTTCAATGACTTCAATGGAGGCATCAATTGGTAATGAATCCAAAGTAGCTAGCATCAAAACCCTAGCTGACTCAGCTGCTCTCACTTCTGTACCTTCGGAGTACACCTACACCAAAAATCCCAACGACATGGGAGATGCAAACGACCCAGAACATTCAATCCCCATCATTGATTTTGCTCTTCTCACCTCTGCCTACCCTGATCAACGGGCACAAATGATCCAGAAGCTAGGCAGAGCTTGCCAAGAATGGGGCTTCTTTCAGGTATTCACACTCACAGTTTGTCATTCTACGATACAAACTCAATATTTGACTTTTGTAATATACACTTCTAGTTATTGATACATGCTTGAGCATGTGGCAAATTAATTGAAGAATGCTAATAATAATGAAACATGAATTAATTATTTTCATACGCGATGTCTTTTAGGTGATCAACCACGGTGTACCAGAGAGCTTGATGGAAGCAATGGTCGACGCGTGCCAAAGATTTTTTGAGCTGCCAGAGGAGGAGAAGAAGGAGTTCCAAACAAGGAACCTGCTGGACCCAATCAAGTGCGGCACCAGCTTCAACGTCGCAATCGACAAAGTGCGCCTCTGGAGAGATTATCTGAAGGTCATCGCACACCCCGAGTTCAACTCACTCTACAAACCGGCTGGATACGGTGAGGTTTCATTGGAGTTCAGCAAAAGAACCCGAGCAGTGGCAACCGAAATATTGAGTGGAATATCAGAGAGCTTGGGATTGGAGGCCGATTACATTGCTAAGGCCATGAATTGGGATCGCGGCTTGCAAATTCTGGCAGCGAATTACTACCCGGCTTGCCCGCAGCCTGACCTGGCAATCGGTATTCCTCCTCATACCGATCACGGACTAGTGACGCTCTTGATTCAGAATGATATGTGTGGCCTTGAAGTCAAGCACAATGATAAGTGGGTCTTGGTGAATTCCGCTCCGGGCTCTTTTATTGTTAACGTTGGTGATCAAATGCAGATTCTGACAAACGACAAGTACAAGAGCATATGGCATCGAGCAACTGTGAACAACACAGCAACGAGGATATCGATCGCCATACCACATGGACCGGCACTGGACACGCCCACTCTACCGATCCCGGAGTTGCTAGAAAAGGAAGGTGAAACAGCAAAGTACATTGGAATGACATATGAGAAATTCATGGAACTTCAGGCAAGCCCCGCTGCCTACATGGTGCCTTGCTTGGATCACCTGCGCGTCAAGGACAATTGAAGTAGTCAATCTCCTTAAAGAGATTCAATCTACTTTCTAAGAGAGATTCAGAGCAGCAGTTGTCCAATTTTTCCCATGTTGGTCGTTTTCTTGATTTCATTCTACATTTATTCTTTTGTTCTTGGCCTGAAGACTCAGATTTTATTTGTAAATCATTATTGCATTCTTATGAAATATTGACCAATAAAATAGATATCGATTTTAATGATTTATACCATATGTCTTCATGTCATTACTCAAAAAATTTCCTTGTTTACAGTTTCTATGATCCAAGCATGTTACTTAACAGAAATGAAAATAGGAAGGGATGAAAGGCCTTAGAAATAGGAAAAGTAAAGAAATAGAATTGGAACAACTAGTCCCCACAGTTGATCGAATTCTTAGTTTTTAGTACTTCATTACGGATCTTAAGAGAAAGCTAAAGTTTTTTTGATTCTTTACGTCTTAGTAAATGCATGGGAAATTTAGAAAGAAAACTCATAATCAAAATGATTCCAATTTACATTCCTTGTAAGTAAAAATGCCCCAAAATTACCGATGGGCCATTGACTTCATTTTCAATCAAAGTAGTCTCACATATCCGCTGCAAACGAAGTCACACATCGCCTGACTCGAGTAGTGCCGCACTTCGACTGATTCTTATTCTAACTCTCGTTGTGATTGGTTTGAAAAACGCCCAGGCAGTGTTTATGACCTTGTGTTTGAGAAGGATCTTTCCCATGTATAATCAATCTTTTTTACTTCTTGGCCTTTTGGCCTTTAATTATATTCGCCGCTAGATTTAAAAAAATAAAAAATAAAACTCAAAAACTCCATGCTTAACAACTTGTGAACAGCCCCCGCTGCAATCTCTCCCCAGAAAACTTGAAGGTGATGGCGCTAAAACAACTGGAAACAACACGTCCCAGTGTGCTGCCTCACTTTACCCTCTCCTAGGCCATTCAGAGTTGTGAGAGCTAAATAGTATCACAAATCTTTCGTTGCCTTTCTTGATGCAAGATCCTCCAGCAGGTGCACTACAAACGACTTTTGGGGCATCAATTGTTTCATATCTTAGCTCTCAGCAGGGATTACATCATTTCAGGGCAACTGCACTATAGGAAACATGGTTGCCTTTTCCTACCTGTCATAAACCAAAGATGAAACAGCAACCAATTCTTCATTAGTTATGATCCCTAAATACTTCTAACATGCACTGTCCTTGCCCTGCGTAAGTTAATCATTCATGTGAAGTCAATGTTCTATGCATGTAAAAAAAATATGAGGTGAAATATGTCCACAAGGAATAACACCCGCTAGATGTTGGAAGCCAAACAGTCTCCAGCTAGAACAAGAAAAACAAGAAGCCAACGGCTAGTTTCTCAAGCTAAGTCCAAGAGGCAAATGGAAGGCTGAGTTTAAAACTGGGCTGCATGGTTAAAATTGGAGTAGTACAATGTTAGGTAGAGTTCCTTGTATTAGTCCTCAGTGGAGATAAGATTGATGACTGTAGTATGGGACCAAAACCCTACTACTTTGATGATATATATATATATATATATGTATAAATGAAAGTATGATGCTGCAATGTTAGCAGCCATCACTCTCTCTCAGTGGCGAAGCTACACAGGGGCAAGGAGGGGCGGCCGCCCCTCCCTTCGCCGGAAATCAAGCCTAGGAGCGGTGGTTCCTTTCATCTGGTCTAGTTGGAAGTGATGGTGCTCAGCGTGCTGTCAAGGTTTTTGTTGCTGCTATGCAGCATAGTGTTTTTATTTTTATTTTTTTTGGAAAATCCTTAAGTTAGATGAAGCCGTTTCGATTAGTGATTAGAAAATTTTTAAAATACTTCTTAGGCAATGTCGCAATTCCATTTAGTTGAATACAAAAAAATTAAAGTGGGGGCCACTGGTCCCCGTTACCTCTTTGCGTTCACACCATTCAATCCCACCCCCTTTTGAAAACAAATCGGAAAGCACAGAGGTGTGTTTTGCGCCTCCCAAAATTTTAATTTCTAAATTTATATATTCCTAACTCTAATTGATTAATTAATACGAAATAATTTTGTTTAATTAATATAGAATCATAGAGTAATACACTAATATAGTTATTGATTATTAATTAGAGATATGAATCCTACGAATGATTATTGATAAATGACATTAGGGGTGGAAAAAAATGCCAAAAATTCCAAACCAAACCAAAAAAATCCAGAAACCGAACCAAAAAAATCTCGAAAATTTTGGTATAGGAATCGGTCTCACATTTTCATTCGTTCAATAATCCCGAACCGAACCAAAGTAAAAAATGTATGTATTATTTAATTTTAAATATATATTTAAAATTGTAACAGCCGTTGGATTTGGTTAAGATTTAATCTCAACCATTGAATCCAAATAAAATCCTCACTCAGTCACTCTTTCTCGACCTCACCTCACCCTACTCTCTCATCCTCGCCGATTTCTCTCCTCCTCCATATTTGCCGTCTTCGAATCCAGCCACATCACACAAGTGACTCACCTCTCTCTCGACCAACCTCCCTAATATCTCTCTCTCTCTCTCTCTCTTTCTCTCTTTCTCTCGACTTCTCATCCCTTACTGAAAAACATGTTGCAAGAATAGCAGCAGCTCAGGTGATAGCATTGTCGATCCTCACCAAGAGTTTGCCTTCGTTTGAAGGACTCAAACCTTCAAACCTTAAGTTCACTCAATCTCAGACTCTCTATGTCTCTCTGTCTCTCCTTCTCGAATTTGAAGCTCAGCAGTCACCTACCTTCCACACCGACCACCACCACACCTCACGGCTTCATCCCCCACCATCGATTCTCTCCAGTCTCTGTGTGTGTAGGGTTTCGAATTAAGGTTAGGGTTTCGAAATGAGGGCTTGGGTCAGGAGGACGACTCGGGTCCGTTTGACTATCTCTCTTGACCATCGATTCACTGCCACTCTCTCTAATTTCAATTTGGGTTTTTAATGTAAGTTCAGATGATTTCAATTTCAATCTAGATGATTTGGATTTTGATGAAGGTTCGGTTTCAGGAAATCTCGAAATACTGAAAATATTTCGGGAATCCCGAAGTTTCAATTCGGGATCGGTCATCGGATTCTTGTCCTGAACATTTTCGGTTAGGGATTTGATATGCCATTTTTGGTTTGGTATCCCATACCGAACCAGCCCTGAATGAAATTGTTGTTTAGGGTAGAAATTGAATTCTTGATTATTGATTAATTAATTATTGATATTGATTGAATTCTTGTTTTGAAAATAATTTATATGATTATTGGTATTGATTAATTGAATTGTTGGTTTAATTACTTAGTAATCATATAGTATATTTTACTCTAGGATTAAGAGTATTAAGACTTTTTTTCCATTATGCAATTACTTAATTAAACGATACAATAAGAAACAGTGCTTAAATTCTCCTTCAAATATGCCGGCTAGTTCTCCTTTGAATATTCCGCCTTCCCATTATTAGTATTGGTAAATTATGGACAACATTACTATATAAAAGAATTTGGTTGTTGCCATTTTTTACCCTTGCACTCTTTTCATTTCGCCCCTGCTCTCTCTTACATTCTCATTCTCTCTGTCAAAACCCTCACTGAAATTCCTTACCAAATACATACAAAACTACAAAACATTAACATGGCTTCAGAGCCTAGGTTGGATTAAACTAGCTGGGAGTTGTGAAAACCATTCTTTTAGGGAGATTTCGAGTATTCGAAGCCCCATAAAATGATTCAAGAATGAAGAGATGTCTAGATTAAGTAGCAGTCAGCTTAGAGCTCCCGTTTTTAATGGTGAGAACTATGACTTTTGGAGGATTAGAATGACCACCACTTTCAAGTCACAAGCTTTTTGGAAAATGGTTCAAGAAGGGTATGAGGCTCCAAATTCAAATGATGAGTCAAATGATGATGAAGAGCTCTTGTGATTCGGAAGACAGTTCTAAGAGATAATGTGATGAGAGACGCCAAGTAGCTAGGAATAATACAAGGAGCAGTTTCAGATGCCATTTTTCCCAAAATATCAAATGAAGTGTCATCCAAAGCTGCTCGGGAAATTCTTCAGACAAACTACAGAGGTGACAAGAAGGTAACCAAAGTAAAGCTTCAATCTCTTAGACGTGATTTTGAGTACACACGCATGAGAGAAGATGAATCCCTTAAAGATTATTTTACTAGGTTGCTTGATGTTGTGAATCAAATGAAAACTTTGGGTGAAGAACTACATAATTAAGGAGAGACTTGTACATAATTATTAATAAGTTTGACAAGATCCTATGATTCTATGGTGAATGTTATAGAGGAAACTAAGGACATTGACACACTGGATGCACAAGAAGTTATGGTCTCCTTGAAAGCTTTTGAGCAAAAATTAGAGAGGCATGCTGATGCAGCCACAGAGAGGGCTTTTCAGTCACTTAGTGTCAATCCTAGAGAGAGAGGAGTTCAACAGCTTAATTTTTCTGAAATGAAAACAACAAGAAGGCTAGACCTTCCTACACTAAACATGTGGCGCACAACAAGGGGCTTCAAAATTGGAAGTAGACCTGATGTAGCATCACCACTAGCATTAAAAAAGTCATTAAAATATATTTTTTACAACGTTGCCAACTGGTGGAATCCAACGAAAGCTCCATTTTGGGTATTTTCCCACTGTTTTAAATTATACGCTATTAATGTTCAGAGATTGTGGTTTATATATTTCAAGGAAGTTATATATACATAAAGTCATAAACTGCATAGCAAATAATTAGTAAAAGAGACATCAAATAGGAAAGTTTGACAACGTTAAGCTATAAACATATATAAAATCTTATTAAACTCCAGTATATCGTTGGGGTACATAAACGAGTCCGATGTGTGATCAGAAGCTCCCATTGATTTACATAATACCTAGCTAAGAATCTTTAGGCTATCAGACATCAGTTAATATGAATTTGTAACCAAAACAAGGCAAATACCCGCATAGCTGGACACATTGGACAACAACTTTGATAGAGAATCAAAGCTCTTACAGGAACGTATGGTATTCTAGAGAAAGAAAAGAGAGCTAGAAACGCTGGCAGGCCAGTCACCAGCATGTATCCACTTCAATTGTCCTTGACGCGCAGGTGATCCAAGCAAGGCATCATGTAGGCAGCGGGGCTTGCCTGAAGTTCCATGAATTTCTCATATGTCATTCCAATGTACTTTGCTTTTTCGCCTTCCTTTTCTAGCAACTCCGAGATGGGTAGAGCAGGTGTGTCCAGTGCCGGTCCATGTGGTACTGCGATCGATATCCTCGTAGCTGTGTTGTTCACAGTTGCTCGATGCCATACGCTCCTGTACTTGTCGTTTGTCAGAATCTGCATTTGATCGCCAACGTTAACAACAAAAGCGCCGGGAGCAGCTTTCACCAAGACCCATTGATCATTGTGCTTGACTTCGAGGCCACACATATCATTCTGAATCAAGAGTGTCACCAGTCCGTGATCGGTATGAGGAGGAATACCGATAGCCAGGTCCGGCTGTGGGCAAGCCGGGTAGTAGTTCGCGGCCAGAATTTGCAAGCCGCGATCCCAGTTCATGGCCTTCGCAATGTAATCGGCCTCCAATCCCAAGCTCTCCGATATTCCATTCAATATTTCGGTTGCCACTGCATGGGTTCTTTTACTGAACTCCAATGACACCTCGCTGTATCCAGCAGGTTTGTAGAGTGAGTTGAACTCAGGGTGTGCTATGACCTTGAGATAATCCCTCCAGAGACGAACTTTGTCAATTGCGACGTTGAAACTGGTGCCGCACTTAATTGGGTCCAGCAGGTTCCTTGTTTGGAACTCCTTCTTCTCCTCCTCCGGCAGCTCAAAAAATCTTCGACACGCGTCGATCATTTCTTTCATCAGGCTTTCGGGTACACCGTGATTAATCACCTAAAAGACATCAAGCGCATGGAAATATTAATTTATGTTTCATTACTAATGACCATTTCATTTTATAACTATTTCACTTTGAAGTTTTGTGTGTGCGCCTGTGTGGTTGGGGGAAGTGTTATTGGCATTTCAAAAATCTCATTCTACACTCTTCACAAATGTATTTTTCTTTTTAAATATAGAAAATTTAAAGTGTAAAATAAGAAATTTAAAGTGTCATTGACAATTATATATATATATATATATATATATATAGGAATCCTTTCCCAAGAGGGATTCCCATTTTTCAAAAAAAATAGGGATACCCTTTTGGTTGTTAGACTTGACTTTAATAAAATTTTGTGGTTGAGCTTCTATGGCATATGATTTATTCTCAACCACATAATTTCATTAAAACTAAATCTAATGATCAAGAGGGTATCCCTATTTTTTTTTTAAAATAAGGATCCCTCTTGAGAAGAAGCCTCTATATATATATATATATATATATATATATATATTGAAAGTTAAAAGGTAAAAACCTACTAGTAACTATTTCAGTTTTTTATTTTAACCAGAGTGTTTTACAAAAATCAAATGTTTGAGTAATATATATGTACTGCAAAATGACAAATCTGTGAGCACTGTTCTAAAAATTGGCCTAGGCGGCCACCTAAGCGGCGTCTAGGCGCTGGGCGGTGGAGCCCTGTTCTGAATTTGGGCAAGGCATTTGGAAAAATCGGTTGGAAGCTAAGCAGCGCCTAGGTGGGGTAGGCAGGCATAGGCGGCCCCTAGGCGGAGAGCTAGACGGCACCTAGGCGGTCCTAGGCATTTTTTTTATATATATTTTTTTATTACTTGTGTGCTTTTTTCTTTTTTGGTCTCATGGTGGTATACTTATGAAAATGTTGTACCTAATTTGCAAATGATGGATTTACTACAAGTTCATCCAATACTTATGGAGATGGTGTACCTAATTTGCATTTTATCATTATTTTATTATCCATACAAATATAGTTATTTTTTAGGTGTAAATAAGTACTTATTTACAAGATATATAATAAATTTACATAAATCCGCCTAGGCGCTAGGCCTCCTGCTCACCGCCGGACTAGCGCCTAACGATTTTTAGAATCCTGCATGTGAGTGTGAATATACCTGAAAGAAGCCCCATTCTTCGCAAGCTTTGCCTATTTTTTGGATCATTTGTGCCCGTTCATCAGGGGAGGCAGAGGTGAGAAGAGCAAAATCAATGATGGGGATTGAGTGTTCTGGGTCGTTCTCATCTCCCTTGTCGTTGGGATCCATGGTGTAGGCGTACTCGGAAGGTACATAAGTGAGAGCATCTGAGTCGGCCAGGGTTTTGATGCTTGCTACCTTGGGTTCAGATGCGTCCACTGAAGTCACTGTAGGTGCCATCGGTGAAGGGAAAGAGGAAGAAGCTGAGAATACTAGTCTTAATTTGTATATCCAGAAGAAGGGAAGTGAGGGAAAGGAAGGTTTACTGACTTATAGTGGTGTGGAGAAATATGGAAAAAGGAAATGGTATTTATAGAGCAAGATGGCAGGATAACATATAACACTTAGGAAATATTTACACCGCAAGCACTCATGACCCGACAAGGTGGAGGTTTTTTCAATAAGCTTGCCAAAGCTGACCACCTAAGTTTCAAATTTGTTAGTCAAACAACAATAAAATATATGAATACATAACATATATAATTATAGTTAATCTACATGTATATGCAATATAGTAATTTTAGGATTCCAGATTTTGTAGACCACATCTAAATTTTTTCTTTAAGAAAATGATAGAAAGTCTAGAATTTTATAAACCACATTTAAACCATTCTTTTAATATTAGTGGGACCACATCTAAATTGTTGTGCCTCTACTTCCGTTCAAAAGATGATTTGGATGTGATATAGAAAATGTGGTATTTCCAGAATGAGGATCCTCTTCAGATCATTTTTGTGAGGATTTAGATTATTCTTTAATCTTATCCGTTCATCATAAATCGTGTAATCCTGTGTTTTTTTTTTTATTTGAAAGGAAACGATAGTATTTTATGCAGAGAATGATAAATCAAACTTCATGGAAGAGGGCCTCCACAATCACATACGGAGGCTCCAAACCAACAAAAATCACTAGAAAAGGAAACAGCCAACTTGGCCATACTATGTGCCGTAACATTAGCAGTACGACGCACATAACACACTTGCGAGTCCATAAAAACCCGCAAAAGAGCATAGATATCTTCCACCAGAAGATCAATCGGTGAAAACCCTTGGATGCGATTGCCAATGGCCTGAACCACCTGCAATGAGTCACTCTCCACAATAACTCTTGCCAAATTCCTATCTGCAACCCACCGAACACCCTCACGTACAGCAAGTAGCTCCACCATAGTAGGGTTCAATGCAGGGGATATTTTACGAACAAAACCTCCAGCATAGCTATTGGCTTCGTCGCAAAATACCCCACCCACACCCCCCATATTTGATTCAGCAAGGAAAGAGCCATCAACATTAACTTTTACCCACTCAGGTTGTGGGGGACTCCAACATGACGGTGCTTGAAGAGAACGGGAAGAGGAGACAGGTACAATGAATAGAAAGTTTAAAATAATTTCTGACCGTACGTGCAATCAGTTTTTGTCATGCACTATTTGTGTTTAATTTTAAATAGAAAGTTTAAAATAATTTTTGACCACACGATGTATAATGAATAAACACGATTAAAGGATCCCTGAGATCCTCAAAAAGAGAATCCGAAGAGGATACTCATTCGCATTTCTAGCATCACCTTTTCTTTAATTAATATTAGTATGGTCTACAATATAAGTTCGACTCACTTCTATTGAAGAAATGGTCTAGATGTAGAGTACAAAATGTACTAGTAGAACGTAGAGAAACCAAAAATTTTCAACAAGGGACTGCCTATGAACATGTTATATAATACATTCACTATCAAATAGTGAGGTATGCAACTAGAAAGACACAACATCATATTTAGTCGTTAAATAGTAGTGAAGAAAATAGACCAATATATTTTTACAAAGAACCCAAAATCCATAACCCAACTGTCATCTGGTTTAGATTTAGATAATTTTTTTGTAGACATGACCTTTGAGAAAAGACATGAAAGATAAATGATTTGGATTGTTAAAATACATTAAAAAAATAAACACCACAAAAACATGTGGTAAAGATGTGTAAAAAATGATATAACGGTCTATCCCTATTAAGTAAATACATATAAACTAGTGAAATGTGGAAAATATGCTTTATTTTGTTTTGTATTCTTAAGATGGAGGAGAGATGGGAAGGATGTATGCATGTATGTAGTTGATGAGAAAATTAAAAAATTGTAGGAATTCATTTCAATGGGCTCAGTTGGAAACTTTGACAACGGAGGCACACGACGCAAACCAATGAAGCCAGCACATCATCGTCATGTGCCTCCCCCCTTTAACCAATTAATAATACATGCCTCGTGCTCCTTGAGGTCAATAATTGATCAAACAAGGCAGCCACCAGAGCCAATTTTAGTAGTGTTTTTTTAATATTTAATTCTTTTTGTACAGTTTTTTTTTTTTTTTTTAATTAGTACCTAGTAATAGGTTAGCAATAATATGATTCAATCAGTTGTTCATTAAATATTATTTTATCTATTTTTAAACATGTTCAAAACATCTTAAGATGTGTGTAATGCCGGTTATAAAAAAGTTCATTCGCACACGCATAATAATGTTATTAAAAAAGTTCATTCGCACACAAACTATATTATCTACACTAAGGGGAAGGGGTGGGCTTAGCCCCACAATAAGCTAGAAATAATGTGATTCAATCAGTTGTTTATTAAATTTTATTTTTTCTATTCAATTAGGAATTTGAGAGATTTTAATGGAAGATTTGTATTATTTTGAATGCGTTTAAATTTGAAGATTTGTATTGTACACTACACGGATCTCGAAATTTAAACTCATCTAAAAATGAAAGATAGAGTGATAAGCATTTCATCACTTAGTATGTCATTTCCTTTGGATCTATAGCGGGATTTCCTTAGCTATGGCGTTTTCTACTAGAGTAGTCACCTCAAGTTTCCCTCCAGTGCCCTTTTATTCCCTAGAAAATTCAAATGGGCAAACAAAATTTGTGGTGGTGAGCAACTTTTGGAGATAAAGGACGAACACCAAAAGAAATCAAAGTCTCCCTCACATGTTGAATGATGTTTAATTATATAATTAAGTAGCAAACGGATTCTAGGTAAATGATTGAGTGATGCAAATTTGACTCTCTGATCAGTCTTTCTTTCCAATGTTTATTTATTTGGATATTTTTTATACAATGGTATTGTAACAGCCCGTTTCGGATTTTCGAACCGTTGGGGTGAAATGACGATTTTGCTCCTAGCATGTTGGTTTCGTTGTGTGGTTGTTTTGGGTTTTGTTTGGCTGGTTCTGGACCACACACACCTTCCCACATCCTCTCACCCCTTTCCCTGTCCCTTTCCCTCTCTCTCTCCCATTTATATCCCCACATGTATGGACACAACCAAAACCATCCAAACCTACACAGATCAAGGAAACAAATTACATATTCATACTCGTGAGGTCCGTAGGAGTTCAACCATACCCATTTCAGGTAAGGATACCTTCATTTTCATGTCGAACTCGGGATACCCCGATTTGGTCACTGTTTATGCACACGTTAATTCTTGTGTTTTTGGGAATTTCAAGCTTGTAGGAAGCTTGTTGAGGTCCTTAGGAGGCTCGGGGTGGTTCGTTTGAAGGTTTTGGACGTCGGGATCGTGAGTTACAAGGTTGGCCGAAGTTGGTGGTGTTTTCCCAGTGAGATTCTGTGTGTTTTAGTGCTTGAAAGTGGTATGGATTTGTTCCTCTTGTTGTAAGCTTCATTTTGGTACCAATTTTGTGAAATTTGGTTGAAAAACGAGTGAGATACAAGGTTTTAAAGTTTTCCCGATTTTCCGGCGACGGCGCCGGAGCTTCGCCGGAGAAGATGACTGAATATTCCTAACGGCGTTAATATTTGATTCAATTCTATTACTTCTATTGTTGCATTAATGAGTAAACAAAAAAAAAAGGTGCTATGTGCTTAACACGCAAATACATTTTGTTTAAAGAAAAATGACTACATTGTGGGACCCATAAGAAGGTCTCATAATCAGAAGATTCCGATCCAACTAATTGTTTTGTTGCCTTCAAGGATTATCCATGCAAGGAGAGTGGACTCTTTAGTCGTCTAATTGTCATGTAATAAATAGAGGGACAAAGTGCTGCCGATAAACTTATAGGTGATCATGAGGGGAACCGAATAAGTAGATTTTGATTTGAGAACTTATAGTGATGATGCTTGGAGGAGAATTAAAAGATAGACGGAGCTGGTACTGAGACCATATATTTGCGTGGGCCCCACAAGGTGGTCATTTTCATAAAATGAGGACATTGAGATGGTGGAATTATATGATGCATATATCAGAAATTTGATTGTTTTATTGTAGTTTTTTTTTTTTTTTTTTTTTTTCCAAAATTTTCCATAGTAGAAAACCCTGTAACTAATTGGTTACATGTTAATTACAGTTAATTTTTCATTAGTAATATAACAACGGAAGACATGATGCAAAACCGAGCGTAATGGTGTTCTAGGATTCATACAGTCGACCATTTAACCTAACTGGAGCAATGGTCTTTTAACTTAAATCCAATTGTAGCAGTGGTCATTCCAACATAACTCATTTTGACAGAATTTTGATAGAGTTAACGAAAAAGGCCATAGCTGCACATTTTGATAAGTTAAGGGACCAATGACCATGAGTTTTTAGTTGAGGGATCATCACTCCAATTGGGTTAAAGTTAATAGGTAGTTGCTACAATTTTCTCTTTATTTAATCATACAGCTTAAAAAGGAGTGTACATAAAGGAAAATTAATGTGCATAAATCATTTCCCTCACCTTGCTATGTTTATGCTGCGTGAATTGGCATCCTTCCCTCCCTCTGTCCTTTTCTCCGGTCAGCGGTTAACTGAGAATCTAATAGAGACCAAAATTAAAGGGTGTCACTTGCATTGAGTAAAGAGTAATGTCATTCATACCATGTTTTTATATCATATTTCTATACCACTTTAGGTGGCATCTGATGTGAATAGCCACATCATTTGAAAAATTTGTAAAACCCAAGGAAAAGAAGGAGAAAGACTCCTCGTATACCACAATCAGCATTTAATTAATTAGTTTTTCTTGATTATTAGTTTATTAAATAATGAACTAAATTAAAAAAATCTAATTAATTCAAATGATGTGACTGCCCATATCAAATGCCACCTAAGATGGTATGAAAATGTGGTACAAAAATATGATGTGAATAGCATTACTCTTGAGTAAAAGCAAAGGCATCTAGTTCTTGTTGGTTATGTTGGACAAACACGCTTTCTTTATGATCTTGTTTTCGATAGGCTATAACATGACCCACAATTAATAAGGCACAAAGAACAAA